GGTGGGGGGCGTCGTGGTAGCGGGTGTATGGGGGGGGGGGTGGAAGGCTCTCTCGGTCGGGGGGGGGGGGGGGTTGGTTGGTGTGGTCGGTGTCAGGCTTGCTGCGGGGGGGTGCGAGGAGTAGGGGGGCAATTTTTGTGTTACCTTGAGCAGCAAAAAGCCTAAATACACCAATGCCCTCTGCTACTTAGCTGACCAGATCAATGTTCCAGGAGGTTCATTGATTTGATGATAGACTCTGCATAAAAAGTCTGCCTTGAATTTTTTTGAGCCGTGTAGTTCTTGCTGGATGTAGGAAAAGAGACATCTCTGGACTGGTCAGCGATGTGTAGTCTCCCATCAGTACCCAGAGACTGGATACAGGAGTAGCAAGCAGGAACGTCACAGCAGCCTGTAAGTAGGGGCTTTCCATTGGCTAGTGATGGTGCCTAGAGCACCAGTCCCTGCTCTGCTCCCTACCCTTTGCTAGAACACTATCCTTCCTGCTAAGGTCAAACCCTCAGCCCTATGTTGCCCATTCCATGACTGAGGCCTCCACACGACAGTACCAGCCCTTGACTTTTATATCCCAAGGAAGGAATGTCCACACATGAATAAGGTTGTTGCACTTTAATGACGGCTTTACTTAGGACATGGCATAAACAGTCACATCACATCAGCATACATTCTGAAGTAACTTGACAGTACATAGTCAAACACATTTAGTGGACAGTCCACAGCAATCACATGTGAAAGCATTGGCAGCACTTTAAATAGCCATCTCCTTCTAACAGTCTATTTTTCCACATGGAGTCATTAGTACTCACAGTACTGTGTTCTCTGTAGGCATCTATTCCATAGATACGTTTCCCCAGGACCCAACAAAGGAATAGCCTCATTCAGGGAACTCTTGCCTGGCCTATAAGGCCTTTCACAACCCACTCTAGCCTTTACCTTCATAAGGGTCAGGAAGTCTACAGTCGGTTCTCCTGGGTAGAGGTCTATTCCTTGTGGCCTCCTGCCCAGTCCAGGGCTTCCATATGCTAGTTACATCTGAGCTGGTGTGAGATGTTTGGCCCCATGTCCCAAGTGTGTTAGGGCTACTCCCAACCTGGCTTATATATGGGCACTGCCCCACCCAGCTGGGAGAGGAAACTGTTCTTTTTCAGCTACCAAGCCTGCTAGGCCTCCCTACCCTTGGACCCCAAGCCTGACAGGTCTGCTGACCCTCAGATCTAAAGCTTGTCAGACCTCCATACCCTTGAACCCCATGGCAGCCTCATAGGTTTCTTGTCTACTGTCACTCCCATGCTTCAGGTCCAAATACAGAGCATTATATAGCAGAAATTCTAACAGGACATTGAATCCTGCCTCTTTCTATTATACACTTGACTTAGATGTTTTTAGAGTAGCTCAGCATTAATGTATGAGCACAGTAAAACACATATCAATCCAATTATATCCATCCCAGGCCTACTAGGCCTACCCTTGGACCCCAAGCCTGCCAGGCCTCCCTGCTCTGGTATCACATGCCTTCCAGGCTTCCCCACCTTTGGACCCCAAGCCCGTCAGGCCTCAATAACTTTGCACCCCAAGCCTGCTGGGCCTCCCAGCCCTTGAACCTCAAGACTATCAGATCTCAGGATTCCAAGTCTGCAAGACCTCGCTATCCATGGATTCCATGTTTGCCAGACCTCCCTATCCTCAAATTCCAAGCCGACTGCCAGGACTCCCTATCCTCAAATTCCAAGCCTGCCAGGACTCCTATCCTTGAATTCCAAGCCTGTCAGGCCTCCTTGCCTTAGAACCCCAAGCTTGCCACCTTGCCAGGCCTCCAAACTAACAGACCCTTGTTTCCTCCTACAAACTTTCCAGACCTCCTGTAAGGAAATATGTCTGATTAACTGGAATCCATTTTGTAAAATACCTCCATTTCTAGATGTGTGAACAGTTAGTTTTGTTTTTGTAACTTCTCTCTTGTTTCCTTAGACTAGTTTCATTTCTCTAAAAGGAACTTCCTTATATGGTATCCCTCAACTATTTGCAGTTTCTGTTCATGTAACTACATTGATAAGAATGGAATGTTTGATTGGTCATCCAGAGATTAAACAACGCCTACTGAGTTTCTGTATAACCGTTCTTGTCATGCATTAAACTTTCAGAGATTTAGCTTGCACACTTGGGTGTCGGAGCTTTATTTCTCCCAGGCCTGGTAGTGAAAATAACGAGGACAAGGGGGCTACAGACATAGGTTGAATCCTTGCACCTCCCAATCCTCAGTTGCCAAGCCTTCCAGACTTTCCCAACCCTTAGACCACCAAGTCTGCCAGGCCTCCCTACCTTTGGACCCTACGATTGTCAGGCCTCCCTACCCTCGAGCTCCAACCCTGTCAGGCTTCTCTACCTTCCAGGCCTACCAGGTCTCCCAACCCTTGGACCCCAAGCCTGACAAGTCTCCCTACCCTCAGACTCCAAGCCTGTCAAGCCTCCCTACCCTCGGACTCCATAGCAGCCACATGGGCTGCTTGTCTATTGCCTCTCCCATGCTTCAGATCCCATCACAGGGCCCTCTATGGTGTATGTTCTAGCAGTACATTGTCCTGCCTCTTTCCACCATAGATTTGAATAAAATGTTTTGGGAGGAGCTCTACATTAGTGTATATGCACAGTATACGTATGTCAGCCTTACTGATCTGATTGCCTTGAAAGGAAAGTCTGAAATGAATGTGATATTGATCCTTTAACAAACCTCATTTATTCAAAAGTATTCATTTAAAAGGACTTTTGAGGTCCCCCTACACAAGTGCTTTGTGAGCGCTCATTAGAACACAAAACCTCAGTTTGAGTTGTTCAGATTATGATGTTTATGGCCTTCTTTGAGGAGAATGTCAGAACTTTTAGCATAATTTGCACTCCACAAAATAACAGGAAAACACGCGGCTCAAGCTGTATTTTGTCGTTCAGAATGCGTCTCTGGCAGCACGTCTCTGCCAACCGGCGCGGCAAGAGCGGCTCCACAACAACCCGCAAGGAGTTATTTCAGACTGCAGAGAGTTTGAAGTCCTTGTTAAAAGCTGACAAATGTTCGCAGGTAGCAATTTACTTTTCAGTTGACTTCAACATAGCACAAGGTAAAATGAGAGATCAATGCAGACAAACATAGAGTCCTGGAATCTCCACAGTGTTTAAAAGCAATCGCAGTTCATTTGCTTCGCATCTCTTTCTTCCCCTTGTCACTCTTCGAAATGTCTCCTATCATCAGCCGCAAAGGGACATTCTTTTTTCCCTTAAACTTATAAACAATTACCATTTCCATGAGAACGTGTTTTAGAAAAAAAAGAGCTCATTAGCATAGTTGTCTGGATATGTCGGAAATTAGAGAAATTTGCACATTACACGCCTGAAGATGAAAAATTGATGATGAACAGTGTGAAAATACGTCATGGATTCAAAATCAATGAAAGGAATTGTATTTATGAAGAAATCACAACCTGTTTTGCAAATACAATCTTCACAGTAGCCAATTAGGTCTGAGATGTACTGTATTCATACATACTATATTGCCCCAAGTATTGGGCCACCGGCCTTTCCACACACATGACCTTTAATGGCCTACCAGGCTTAGTCTGTAGGGTTCAATATTGAGTTGGCCCCACCCTTCCCACACACACATGACCTTTAATGGCCTACCAGGCTTAGTCCATAGGGTTCAATATTAAGTTGGCCCCGCCCTTTCCACACACATGACCTTTAATGGCCTCCTAGTCTTAGTCCGTAGGGTTCAATATTGAGTTGGCCCCGCCCTTTCACGCACATGACCTTTAATGGCCTCCTAGTCTTAGTCCGTAGGTTCAATATTGAGTTGGCCCCGCCCTTTGCAGCTATAACAGCTTCAACTCTTCTGGGATAGGCCCCCCACAAGGTTTAGGAGGGTGTCTATGGGGAAGGTTGGACCATTCTTCCAGAAGCACATTTGTCAGGTCAGGCACTGATGTCGGGGGAGGAAGGCCTGGCTCGCAGTCTCCGCTCTAATTCATCCCAAAGGGGTTCTATGGGGTTGAGGTCAGGACTCTGTGCAGGACAGTCAAGTTCCTCCACCCAAACTGGCATTCCTCCATGTCTTTATGGACCTTGCTTTGTGCCCTGGTGCGCAGTCATGTTGGAAACAGGAAGGGGCCATCCCCAAACTCTTCCCACAAAGTTGGGAGCATGAAATTGTCCAAAATGTCGCCTTAAGAGTTCCCTTCACTAGAACTAGGGGGCCAAGCCCAACCCCTGAAAAACACCCTCACACCATAATCCCCCCTATCACCAAACTTACACTTGGCACAATGCAGTCAGGCAAGTACCGTTCTCCTGGCCACCGCCAAAACCAGAGACATCCATTGGATGGCCCAGACAGAGAAGCGTGATTGGTCACTCCAGAGAACACGTCTCCCTTGCTCTAGAGTCCAGTGGCGGCGTGCTTTACACCACGGCATATGACACTTTTGCATTGCACTTGGTGATGGAAGGCTTGGATGCAGCTGCTCGGCCATGGAAAAACCCATTCCATGAAGCTCTCTACGCACTGTTGTTGGGCTCATCTGAAGGCCACACCAAGTTTGGAGGTCTTTAGCTATTGACTCTGCAGACAGTTGGCGACTTCTGCACACTGTGCGCTTCAGCATTTTCTTCTTTGGATGACAACGCTGACCCCGCCCTGTCATGTGACTGTGGCCTACCACTTGGTGGCTGAGGGGCTGTTGTTCCAAAATTGCTTCCACTTTGTTATAATCCCACTAACACTGCGCCGTTGAGCGTTGGAATATTTAGTAGCCAGGAAATGTCACGGGATGGACTTATTGCCCAGACCAGATGGCCCACCTATCACGGGACCACGCTTGGAGTCACTGAGCTCCTGTAGAGCACCCACCCCCACCCATTCTTTCACCAATGTCTGTAAGCCGTCTGCATGCCTAGGGGCTTGATTGTATACCCAACCTGTGTCCATTGGAGGGGGATTGGAACATCTGAATCACATGATTGGGAGGGGATTGGAAACCTGAATACACATGATATGGAGGGGATTGGAAAACACCTGAATCACATGATATGGAGGGGGATTGGGACACGATGTACTGAATACATGATAGGGAGGAGGATTGGAACACCTGAATCACATGATATGGAGGGAATTTGGAACACCTCTGAATCCACGATGATATGGGGATCTGGAACACCTGTGAACAAGTCATGATTTGGGGGGCTTGGCTAATACTTTTGGAATGCCCTATATATGGAAACGGGTTAAAAGATGTATCAGGTCATTAGCAGCCAGTTAGGGCCAGTGATACGCCAAATTTTCTCAGATGAATAGGTGCAGGTACTACTCTCAGCCCTCCAGAGTCTCACCGCCCTTGTCTCCACCGACCTCCCCACCTCTGAGCACCATCCTTTGGTTTTGCCCTCCTACTGCCACCAGTACCGCCCCCTTTAGGAAATACAGAACCAAGTATCTTTTATGGTGCATAAATTTGAAGCAAACAATTACCAGACCACCCCAAAGCAACAATAGATCCCCTGCCAACAAAATACCCCTCAGAAATAATAGATCGCACCACAGCAACAATTAGGTTCCCCACCAGCAACAATATAGGGCAACCCGGCCAAGCAACAATAGATCTCCTAGCAGCCAGCATGTCAGTAGGAGCCCTCCAGCAACAATAGACCCCTTCCTCGCAGTAGATCCCTTCCAACAACAACTGACCTTAGCAACCTCAAGATCACCGCCCCATAACAACAGTAGTAAGTGTACATCAACCTACAACAGTTCCCTCACCAGCAACTATAGATCACTGCAGCAGTCAGCATCAATTCCATGGCCCCTTAAGTAGCCATCTGGTGGGAACAATAGACTCATCTTCCTGAGCAGAAGCAGAGGAACAGGGGTCAGTGCTGGCAGGACAGAGGACAAGGGGTCAGTGCTGGCAGGACAGACTGGACAGGGGCACTTGCTTGCTGGGCAGAGGACAGGGGTTCACTGTTGGCTTGGCAGAGCAAGGACAGGGGTCAGTGCTGGGCATCACCGCAGAAAGACAGGGGTCACTGCTGGCAGGGCAGAAGACAGGGGTCAGTGTTGTGCAGGGCAAGAGGACAGGTGGGCGTCAGCTTGCTGGTACACAGGGGACGCGAGGACAGGGGGTCAGTGCTGGCAGGACAGAAGGACAGGGATGGGTCAGTGCTGGCAGGGCCAGAGGGACCAGAGGCTTCACTGAGCTAGCAGGTGGCAGACGACAGACGGTCGTCAGTTCATTTGGCTTGAAGGGCACGAGCGATAGGGGTTCCAGTGCTGGCAAGGAAGAGGACAGGGGTCCGTGCATTGGCCATGCGTGCGCACTGAGGACATGGGGTCAGTGCTAGCAAGGGCAGAGGACAGGGTGTTCACTGCTGGGCAGAGCAGAGGACCAAGGGGCTCAGTGCTTGCCAGGGCAGAGGACAGGTGGTCACTGCTGGCAGGGCAGAGGACCAGGGGTCAGTGCTAGCAGGGCCAAGGAACAGGGTCACTGCTAGGGCAGAGCAGAGGGACAGGTGTCACTGCTGGCAGAGCAGAGGACAAGGGGTCAGTGCTTGGCAGGGAAGTTGGACTAGGGGTCACTGCTGGCAGGGCAGAGGACAGGGGTCAGTGCTTGGCAGGACTGAGGACAGGGGGTCACTGCAGGCAGGGCAAGGACACAGGGTCCAGTGGCTGAGGCAGGGCAGAGAGGACAGGGGTCACTGTTGGGGCTGTAAATGAGGGACAGGGGAGGTCACTGCTGCATGCGCAGAGGACAGGGGTCAGTGCTGGCCAGGGCATGGAGGGACAGTGGGTCATCATGCTGACAGGAACAGAGGACAGGGGTCGAGTACTGGCAGGGCAGGAGGACAGGTGTCATGCTTGCAGGGCAGGGACAGGGGGTCCAGTGCTGGCAGGGCAGATGGATAGGGGCCAGTGTTGGGGCAGAGCAGAGGACAGGGGGTCAGTGCTGGAAGGGACAGAGGACAGGGGTCAGTGTTCGCAGGAGATAGGGGTCAGTGTTGGCAGGGCAGAGCAGAGGACAGGGTCAGTGCTGGCAGGGCAGGGCAGAGGACAGGGGTCAGTGCTGGCAGGGTCTAGAGGCGACAGGGGTCAGTGTGCTGGCAGGGTAGAGGAAGGGGGCAGTGCTTGGCAGTACAGAGGACAGGGGTCTAGATTCTGGCAGGGGCAGAAGACAGGGGGTCACAGCTGGCAGAGCAGAGGACATGGGTCACCTGCTGGCATCGCAGAGGACAGGGGTCACTGCTCTGGCAGGGCAGGGACATAGGTCACACTGCTATCAGGGCAGAAGACAGTGGTCACGTGCTGGCAGAGCAGAGGACAGGGGTCAGTGCTGGCATCGCAGAGGACAGGGGTCAGTGCCTGGCAGGGAAGAAGACAGGGGTCAGTGCTGGCCAGGGCAGAAGACAACGGGGTTCAGTGCTAGCAGGGCAGAGGACTGGGGTCAGTGCTGGCAGGGCAGAAGACAGGGGTCAGTGCTAGCAGGGCATAGGGACAGGGGTCACTGCTGGCAGGGCAGGAGGACAGGGGTCAGTGCTAGCAGGGGCAGTGGACTGAGGGTCAGTGCTGGCAGGGCAGAGAACACAGGGGTCAGTGTTGGCAGGGCAGAAGGACAAGGGTCAGTGCTGGCAGGGCAGAGGACAGGGGTCAGTGCTGTGCAGGGCAGAGATAGGGTCAGTGCTGGCATAGGGACAGAGGATCAGAGGTCACATGTTCCTTGCAGGGGCAGACGGACAGAAGTCACACTGCTGGCAGGGCAGAGACGACAGGGGTCACTGCTTGGCGAGGGCAGAGGTCACTGCTGGCAGGGCATCAGAGGACAGGGTGTCACTGCTGGCAGTGGCAGAGGACAGGGGGTCAGTGCTGGCAGGGCCAGAGGACAGGGTGTCAGGTGCTGGAGGGCAAAGGGACAGGATAACTGCAGCAAAGATGAGTAAGAGGGGGGTCGGGGGGATATGTATATGATCAGGCGGGGGGGGTATACCCTGGATGGGAGCATGGAAGAAGTCATGTGTACGTCCGTAGGGGAGGGGAAATGTTTGGTGTGAACCAGTGATGGTGGTGTTGGTTGGAACACTGACCAACACCACCATCCCCCTTTCCCTTCCCGCAGAGAATGCCTGACATTTTGACCAACAACAACACCCTTTGCCCCCCACCCTGGAAAGCCTTCCACTCCCCCCCCCCCCCCACTCATCTTCACAGCTCCGGACATCCCCGGGAACAAGCGTCAGGCTCTACATCAAGCCACAAGCAGCCCGCAGCCTCTCTCTGTCCCTCATGTCATCGCCTTCTTCTGGGGGAAGGTGCTGCCCCCCTGTAAAAAGATAGCCGCCCTAGGAGCGTCAAGTGCTTGTTTGCTTTGTTATACATACTCCCTCGGTGTCGGTGTGAACATTTACGAAGCTAGCCGTAGAATACTCCGACACGGCGCACATAGCGCTCTACGGCCGACAAGCTCATTCAGGTGAAGTGACAAGAAGACCCGCGATCCGCTTCCCCGTACTTCACAGTTAAATGAGCCTTCGAGAATTGTAAAATGAAAGTGTGTTTCAATTGTGGGTGGATCTGGAAGGAGCCATAAAAGCATCTCTTGGAAGTGGCCAGGTTCTCCGGGACGTGCGATCATATTACAGATTAATAATGCCGTTTGCCTGTAACAGAAGAAGAAAGTGACAATTTTATGACTACGCTTGGCGTTCCCGGACATCTGCGCTCCGCACAGCCGCCACCATTTCCATCCAATCAGAAAAAAACAGACCTATTATTTGCTTCTTTCCTTCGCTCTCACATTCCCGCAATAAAAACAACACCATCGACGTTCCAGAGAGCGGCCTGTCACAAGACGGGAAATGTCAGATGAGCAAGAGATTTGTTTCGCTAAAGGGTTGCGTTAGAGGTGTGAATTTTTCTGTTTTTCTTTTTTCCGTACGGCTAGGGAAATGAATTGCAAAGAAGCCGCTGTCAGCTTTCTTGAAAACAGAGTGATCCCGGCGTGAATTCTCTGAGAGGGTCCATGAAGGGGAAGATAAAATATTAGTGACTACGGATAATACCGCGCCGCAAAACGCAAATCACACCAGGCGCCGGCGCAAGGCACCTTTTTTGTGATTTTTATCCCGCAAACCTCTGTGCCCTAGGCTGCACATGAGAGACGCTGCAGTTCATTACAGACGCCCACATCTATCCTCTCCACTTATTTCATTATCATACTGATGGATGCAGTGAATAGAAGGTTTTTCACCTACAGGAAATGTACTTCTACAAAAATTACTTACTGTCTGGAATGAAATATGAGTTGCCTGAACCATGTACTGGGTCACAGTGATCAGAATGCCCATCTCTGTCTCCCAGCATTCAAAACCTCTTAAAGGCAGGAAGGGTTAAATTAACTTCACATCAGAGTCCACCCTTCACATCAGAGTTCCTCTTCTCACTTCAGAGGTCCCATCATACACATCAGAGGTTCCACATCAATAATACAGAGGTTTCCCAATCACAGCATAGCAGCCCTGTTCATACTTTACGGCCAGGAGGTCCCTCTCATCTCCTCCGAGGGTCAACCTCATCACATCAAAAGGCCGGCTTACCCCATTAATGTCAGAGGTTCCCCATTACGTCAGCAGGTCCCTCCATCAAATCAGTGGTTCCCCATCACAGCAGAGGTTCCTCATTATGTACAGAGGTCCCCTCATCACATCAAGGTCCCCTCAACACATCAAGGTTTTCCCCCTAAACAAACAGAGGTTTTTTCCCTCATTCAGAGGTTTTCCCCCTTAAAGTCGGGGGTCCCCTCAACACATCAAAGTCCCCCACATATCAGAAAGGGTTTCCCCCTCATGTCAAAAGGGTTTCCCTCCCTCACTTTAGAAGTTCCCCACACATCAGAGGTTTCCCCCTTTTGTCAGAGGGCCCCTCATACATCAATGTTTCCCCCTCATGGCAAGGGTTTCCCCATTTCGTCCCGAGGTCCCCCCCTCACCAAACAGAGGTTTCCCCCCAACAGAGGTTTCCCCCTTTTGTCAGAGGGCCCCCCCATTTACCAA